AACCCAACATTATACAAACATTAATAAGACAGAAAGTTTCTGCAGAAATACAGTATTGAAATATATTCCAAATCTAAAAAACATGAAATACTATCAAAACAATTATATGCAGCTGAACACCTACACAAGTCTTTCAATTTCATTACCTTCTATACAAAAGGGGAAACTTATGAATAATATTGTGCTGTAATGTAAACACGGAGTGTGAAACATTTACTGCAGTGCATCTGAACACTACAGAGTGTCATTCTTGTGATGTAAAGATATTATTTACCCTGCCTAATGCTGCCTGATTTAAGTTATTTTTATGTCATTATGAATTACAAAGTGTGTTTGTTGGTTGATAATCTTTACTAAAGTTAAGAAGGGTTTATTTGAGACGATATGAAGTGTTTTGGTAGTTTTAGTAAATTTAGAATGTGAAATGAACTGCTGTGCCAAACTGAGAGATGGTAAGGAGAAATGTGTGAAGAGTTTAGAAAAAGTGACGAAAGTACTGAGAAATGGGCCCTAGCAAAAAAAAAAATATATATAATAAAATCATAAATATAATTTTATAAAGCGGAGAGTTCCGGTGCTTGATTCTGATTGGCTGAGCCGCGTTCGAAGCTGTTGTAAATGACGCTACAAAGTAACACACACCTTTGTTTACGTTTGTGTGTTGCTCGGCAACCACTTTGTAGCAACCACAACTGTTTCTGAGGAGCTACATTGTTTGGTGGAAGAATACTGTGTTTATTAATATCATTACATTTTATTTGCTCTGCTTTATTTTGTGATACCTTACTACGTATATGGAATAACCGTTTTATAAAAGCAATAACCCCCGTGAAGCCGTGGGTTACAGTGAAATTATAACAGCTAAGGGGCGTTGTTAGGTATGACGGGAAGCTGAAGCCCCTTCTTGGGGCTTATTGCTTTATAATATCACAGAATCAAACTAAATATATTATTTTACACCAAAAAAAAAAAAGATTTCGATATAAGCCAAGAGGAGACTGGTGTTCCTTTGCTAAAGTAAGGAAACTTTGCTTCCTTTGCTCCTGTAATCAAATGCTGGTTTTCACGAGACTCACCGGCGCATGTGCAACGCTGAACTCATACGTCATCCGCGCGGAGCTGCTTCCGTGTACAACAGTGAGCGCAAGCTAGATTCAAGTGATTATTACGTTTTGAATATGGATATTTTTCTTACAAAAACTCATCGATTCGCTACAGAAGGCCTTTGTTCACCCCCCCCCCGGGGCCGTGGGAGACACTTTTTTTATGGATGAGCGCTTTTTATTTAACTTCTTTTGGACTGATGCATGCAACACCCGCTGAGTGCCATGAAACAGCTTGAAAGATCAAAGACAAATTTTAATATAACTCCGACTGGATTCGTCTGAAAGAAGAAAGTCATATACACCTAGGATGCCTTGAGGGAGAGTAATTTATGGGCTAATTTTCATTTTTGGGTGAACTAGCCCTTTAAATGAGGTAGAAAGAGCTCCGTGAGGTAACAGTTCCAGTGATGTGATTCTCTACACCTGAGGTTCCTCTGACAGGAGAACTAAAAATCAGCATGATGCCAGCATGATGTTAGTGAAGAGAAAAGATCCCGCAGATACAGACGTCTGATCTGATGGATCACACGGTTGAGCTCCTCCTGTGATAATGACTGAGAGTGAGATCTGTCGGAGCGTGTGAAGAGTGTAGGTACCTGGCAGAGACGTCTGTGAAATGAACAAAGCAGGAGATGACCACTCCGATCCTGCCCTTCCCTCCCTAGTGAATCAGAGAGAGATCATGCATTACTGACACACAACACACACTCACACACACACAGAATGAATGACGCAGCTCATCCCTGGCTAAACATGTTGCTGTGAAGGCGGCTTCAGGTTACGTCTCACCCTGCAGTGAATGACCACCACGTGCAGCGGATCGGCGTTCAGCCAGTTCTCTATGGCCTTACAGATGCTGCAGATCTTATCCAGAGGAGGAGCGTGGAAGTCCGGCCATCCCGTGTCCAGAGTCTGAGGAGACAGTTCAAATAAACACTGACATCATATTCCAGAATTGTTCTGTAGCTGCACTAATAAAGCAGATCCTCCACAGCACCTTAGGGTTCATCTTAGTGAGCTCCTGCTTTCTCTCTGACAGGTTGATCACCTGGAAATCAAATGATGATGAGTTAAAAAGGCCATGATGCAAGATGTGATGACAGAAACACATCAGAGAGCGTGTCTCCTGTGTGAAAGCGTAACGGATCCTCACCAGATAGTTGTCTGTGTGTTTGGACTTGAGCATGCGTGTGACGTCTCTCAGGTTGCGCAGGTATGTCTCCTCGAAGCAGTCTTGAGGGAAGGACACGGCAATAATGCGCTCCGTCACATAGGTGAGGTCGAGTTCATATCCCTCCTCCATCTGCACACAGAAGATTTACCCTCAGATCAGCCCTGAACTTCAGAAGAGCAGCACATGAAAGCTCAAGAGAGCAAGTATCTGACAGGACAAGTATTCTCCATCTGCATTAAGTTAAACATTTCTCAACGTCGCAGCATCACTGCAGACACATAAACCGTGTCGCTCCGCAGAACTGAAAATGAATGGGATCATATCGCTGTGCCATTGAACGAGGCTTTAGTGGAACTGAAGTGTGCGGAGTGTGCACTTGTAGTGTACTTCAAATCTTCAAAAGTATTTTTTTAAACTCTACTTGCAGATAATATAATATTAATGAAATAAAGGCCACTTAAATGTACTTAAAGAAAGAACACTCTTAACAAAATTAAGTACATTTTTAAAAAGTGCGCTTTGTAAAGTGTCAGAAGTTAATTTTTAATCATTATGTTTTAATAATCTTTAGTCTTGCTTTAAAGAAGGACACTTATTTTAAAGTGTTGACTAACATACTAAAGCACAAGTACTTGATTATAATTTTAACTGTAGTGTGTTAATATATTTTAAATGTACTAAATTGCAAATGTGTAAACATATATATTTAAATACATGACATACAAGTTTGAATAGAAATGACATTAAAGTATATTTTAGTTTACCATAAATGCTTGTCGGTACATTCAGCAGTACTTTAACCGTATTTCAAAGACAATAGAAGTGATTGTGAAATTACATATAAAGATGTACATGTTGATGCAGCACTTTTAGCCAATGATAGGGATCTCATGAGTGAGGGGTTTTTAGCATGATGAACGCTGTTAATTCAAGTGATCACAATGCCAGAGTGGTCTAAATATAAGTTAGACGGTAAAGAGTGTGAGAGCGACCCTAACTCTAACCCTAACGCTCTGGACTGGTATATCCTAGACTAGATTAGTTTTGACTGTGCAAAGTTCTGTATTATGTTCTACAATATGTACTTCATGAAGGTAAGGTAATTATCGTACAGTATGCATCAATGAATGACACAGAGTGTGAAATACCTGCTAGTTATGTTGCATCTGAACACTTATACTGGGCACTTTTTCCATTTAAATGAGCTTATTCTGAATGTTGACACTGAAAATGATGCACGTGTTTTTCAGAGAGTATCAGTTTTCTTGATTGCCGTTTTGACATTGGCTGCTGTCTACCTCGACATTTATATTTGGTAATTCTCTTTAATGTATTTGCCCTGATTTGATCTGTTTTCCTGGGAAATGTATCTTTTTTATATTATTTTGTCATCTTTATTTTGTTTTAAGGAGTTAAAAATGGTCCTGATCAACCCTGATTGACATGGCAATACAATTCCATCACATTGTTTTGACAGTTAAAGTTTAGGCTGGATTACAAGGATTGCTTGTGATCAGTGGTGTAGTGCAGGGTATATGCAGGTGTACGGCGTAAAGCCACGTCTAAATCCCCTCTGATGCGCTTCATACAGTAGTGTCCTGCATCATGACAGTCCAGCACAAGAGTAGCTAATCCAATCACATGTGAATAAATGCAAATATTCCCTGAACACCCAGTGAAGACAGTGATGCGGTCAGGACACTCTCATGTGTGTTTCATTCACACTCGAAGCCGGAGGCCGCTCTTGCTCAGAGAGTCCAAAACAGACTCATAGAGGTAATAACTTTATGACATGCCAGGAAATCGATAAAGGCATCCAGAAAAGCCACTGGAAGGCAAACCTACAACCTTTAGCCAAAAAAGCGTAACGGCTAATGCTAACGCTTCCGCTGTGGCGGTATGCAGGGAAGGAGACCAGAGGCTGTTTGTTTAAATGGATGTCAATGGAGGAGAGGCTTCACAATGCTGAATAAACAGCTTTTGTGAGGAAACAGCCAGTGTTCAAACTATACCGTGGACTTTGGGGGAGCACACTTGTTTTTTTATTTTTATAACAAGGGGGTTGGGTGTTCGTGCGCTTGCCTTACAAAGACAGTTCCCTCCTTTTGCGCCATTAAGCTCCTGAAGCTTCATTAAAGAGGTGAGCTTTCTGTAAGACAGCCTTTCCTTAGCTTCATATAGGCAGACCTGAATGATGTTGCGGTCTCCTCCATTAATTTGGAATTCACCTCAATTACTTTATTTAGCAGAATCGCCTTTTGCTTAGTCAATGCCACTTCAACGGCCCTCTTGTGTGCAATGCTGTCCCTATGTTTCTATATCCTTTTTTGCAACTTGCTCTGAGCAGTGCTGCTTACTTCCTCATTAATCCACTCCTCAGACAAGAGCGTGCCAGGTACCTTTTCAGACAGAAGAAGGTTTTTTCGTCCCTACAAGCGATGCACCCCAAGCTTCCATCCTTAACAAAAAGCCATGTATATCGGCTCTTCCAGTCTCTCCACTGCTGGCTGTTCCAGTTTAACAGGAGAGAGGAGCAAGAGGGGTTAGGATCGTGACCGGCCTCTGACGAGCTGTTACCATCACCATCTTCAGCCAGAGAGGACTTTATTTCTTCAGCTTCTTCTTGCGTTGTCTCCCCGGCGGGAGGTGTGCTAACAGGGCTTGCAGCAGGTGAATCGGTCGTGCTATTAACGTCATCATTACACAAATTCTTAGTAAAACCAAAATTAATTAAACTGCCTTGTGTTCTTTTTGCCATGGTGGCTATATGATGCTATATGATGCTAAGTGCAGAATGGATTTCAAGGACTTCGCGCGCAGATCAACGGCCTCCAACGTTTATATTTTTTCTACGAATCTTTGAGTTAACATGTACTAAACATGAGTGGAATTTGCACCGCAGCGCCCTACACCTTGATCCTCATGACAAGAATAGCATGTATAGTTATCTTTATTGAAGTGAATTAGGTTTTAATCGTCGTCATGCATGAATGAATGATATTTTTGCAGTTTTACACATAATAATCCACGATGATCACATTACACAAAACTGAAGATGCACGTCAAAATAACACATTGTCAATATTTTTTGAGACCCCCCAAAATTTCACAAATCATGTTTTCAGGGGAGCCCATGTATTATTAAGGGGAGCCGAGCTCCCTCTAGCTCCCCCGTAGTTCGCACCCTGGAAACAGCTTATCATTTAATGAATCGACAGCCTATCGGCTAATCTTCAACATGTTTTACACCAAACAATACTTTTGGATTGAATTATTTTTAGAGTTTAGACTGAAACAAATACCGTTTTATAAGAGAAGTCATGGACTTTCAGCTTACAGCACTTCTCATTCATTCCTATGGTATCTGTAAACTGCGATTGACTGTCGCTCAACTCTGACTGAAATTCAATGACGTCAAGGCTGTAATGTGATCGTTATCAATGCACACATCATCCAAGTTGACCGTTACGCTTTCTCCCGTGGAAGGTAATACTGCACAGACCCTCGTATCTCCCAATAATAAGACCATCTCTGGGATCCAGCGATCGCTGTAGACAAAGCAATGTCTGCTGTACCTTAACTAAATAAAAAGAAACGTTTTGACTAATGAAACGTGAAGACAATAAACACACGATTGCGACAATATGAGGTTCATGTGTGTTTTTCAGGTCATCTCCAGGTGATTAAAAAAGCATCTGAATAATGCAGTGCTAATTGACATAGCATTTATTACTGTAGGCTATGGAAACTATATATTATATATATATATATATATATAAAATATATCTTCTGCCTTATTTAAAAATGGAAAAAGTGTTTGCATATAAACAAATCATAAAATTGTCATTAGGAAAATATAGGAAAAAATATTATAGAATACAAATTATTGGTTATTGTCTAGCAGTGTATTTGATTTTTCAATTAAAAATAAAAGATAGGATAATAATAATAATAATAATTTGCCCGTCACTGTATGTCACGGGAGAAGAACAGGAGCAGAGCTTTTTATTTGAATTATTTATTGCAAAATCTGCACCTCTTCTGTGCCTAATATTAATATCATAATGATCCATACTCCATGAAGTCAAGCAGCAGAAATAATAATAATAATAATAATAATAATAATAATAATAATAAAACCTATCAATTAGACCAACAACAAAAAAAAAAGGTATTATTATATTTGACATTTCTGTCTCCCTCACTTCTGAAATGATGGCTACGCTCCTGTGTCAGGGCTCCAAATTCCCATTTGCCCGTCACTGTATGTCACGGGAGAAGCACAGGAGCAGAGCTTTTTATTTGAATTATTTATTGCAAAATCTGCACCTCTTCTGTGCCTAATATTAATATCATAATGATCCATACTACAAATTATTGGTTATTGTCTAGCAGTGTATTTGATTTTTCAATTAAAAATAAAAGATAGGATAATAATAATAATTCCCATTTGCCCGTCACTGTATGTCACGGGAGAAGAACAGGAGCAGAGCTTTTTATTTGAATTATTTATTGCAAAATCTGCACCTCTTCTGTGCCTAATATTAATATCATAATGATCCATATTCCATGAAGTCAAGCAGCAGAAGTTAAGTGACTGTGCAAATACTACTGGCCTAGTTTGGGCAGAACTAACTAAGCAAGACTAGTCTTACAAATCACTGCTTATAACACAGGGCGTTCATCCTTAGCTGGGGATGAACTGGGGGCATAAATTAAGAGTATACCCACTTCTCCAGGCACCACTACAGCACTGCTTGCAATAAAGATTTAGATGCAAAAGGAGAGTCAGGAGAGCCGGCTGTTTCTGTCAGTGGTGAGATTGAATTGAAAATGTTTGTGATAACGTAAGAAAAGTAGACTAGGCTATGTTTAAATGCTTTGCCACTTGCTTGAGCAACTTAGCTATATAAATCTAGAAGTAAAACGTGTTAAATAATACGTTGCTTATATTTATTGCGTTTAGAGTGAATACATTGTGTTACTGTTCTGTGCAAAAAAGGAAATCACAATGCTTAAAAATCATTTTCACTAACAACGTTTGGATTTTAAATCAAAATAATGGATAAACACATACATTCTAAATCATAAACATCTTAAAGACATCTTCTAAACGTCTATTTGACATC